TGCAATGCATTTAAGTGACAATGACTTTATAAGACATTTTTTGAGTAAATTAAATAGTGTTTATATTTGATTAGAAAGGCTATTTTGAATCTTGATTAAATCGCCTTTCGGTGGCCGGTATGTAAGGTTTAGTTTACTTTTGTTGTGATTGAGGAGCCTGGTGTCCGGCTCATCTAATGCATTCATTTGCATAAATGACAAGTTTTCATTCAGGGTGGTGCCCCATGACTTTTGCACTTTATTTCATTCATCATAGGGTCTCCGTAGGAGGAACACATACTACTCTTACTTTTGAATCCGTTATTTCTACTTGAAATTTATAGTTTAAAGGAATGGCAGAAATGGTGAGTTTTAATACTGTTTATTGATTATTATTGATTATTGATGATTAGTTATTTATTATTGGTGATTATTGAAATGTATAAATTTTTTGAGTAAGTAAATTTGAACACGTAAATAAGCCTTAGTAAGTACATTGTTGTAATTTTCTTTTTCTTTTCTTCTTTTTTAGTTTTTACGTGTCTTGTGAATCCATGTGAATAAACCAAGATCCAGTGAAAAACACATGCCTTTTCTTTGACTTTTATTTAACCTGTATAACCCCTGCGTGTTATAATGATGATGACGATGACGTCATCACCGAGGACCTGAATCTGGATGACGAAGCTTCTAAAGGAGATACAAGCGCGACCAGCTTGCTGGAGAAAAGTAAGCACATTGATGACGAATACCAAAGTCGTCTTGACGAGAGAATGCAGGAGCTGATGCGATCTCTAGAACAACAAGAGCAAGAGGAGCTTGTCAAACTGGTAGAGAAACACAGCAAAGAGATGCTGTCTCTAATAGCTGAGAAGGTGAGACTTTAATAATAATAATAATAATAATAATGTTAATGTATATTCTAAAATCCATATAAAATGTTCAGTAGACTTTATATGGATAAAATGAACATAATAAGATGAATAAAGCTCCCAAACCTACTCTAAATACAGCGGAATTCGCTTGATTTTACGTTCAGTCGCGAAACTTTGTGTCATCTCGGAGAGATTCCGCCTCAATAGTTTGAACATCCCAGAAGTGAGTGTGCTAGTGCTATCAAACTGAATACAGCTGTTGCAATAGAAGCAGAGGACTAAATTGTGATAGTGGTGAAAGTCAAGTCGTTGGCGCATCGTATTGTGTATTTGTTTATTTTCACAAGGTGTTTATGCTCATGTATCTAAAATTGATGACGTCTAAAATAGATATAGACCTAGTCACTTATTTTAACTATTACTAACTTGCAGTTCTTATTTTATTCATTATGACTTTATCTGGTAAAAGTGTAGCCTATTAATGTCTTTAATTTTCATTCGTTTATTATTTTATTTCAATTCATTTATTTATTTTTATTATGATCATTATTTTTTTTTTTACCTTTCGACCAGGACGGTTCAGTAAACAAAAGTATTAATTGACTGAACTCCCCCAACTCGTCAATTAGCGCTTTTTATCAACAATTTTAATCAGTATCTGCAGAAACCACATTTCCGAGGCCAATCTGACAGTACGACATTTTGTCTCGGGATTTTGATTTTTTATAAATGAGCAAACCTTGTGTTTCTTAACTCGCAATAAAACTTTGAAACATTTCAGGAAAGAGAGATCGACACAGAGAATGATTTCAACCGATCTCTACCGCCAGATGTCGCTCCACCAGAGGTTAAAAAGATGGACCTCTTTGAAAAGTCGGATTCTGCCGTCCAACGCCTCGATATGCAAGCGATCGAGGTCAGTATTGTATGGCTTTATTTATTTATTTATTTATTTATTTATTTATTTATTTATTTATTTGAATGCGGTTGGATTGTTTGAATTTCCGCCATTCTTTTATTATTATCTTTTATTGCATCTTATTATTCAATAATGCATTTATCTTTGTGCTGATATAAAACAACAAAATAACATCCAAAATGTAAAATATCGGTGTGTATATTTATCGTTGCAATGTATAAGCATAGGCAACTCAAAGCTTTAATCGTCAATAAAACATGTTTCTATTTAGAGGTGAGATAGCAATCGGTATGGAGCGTAACTTCATCCCTAATAACACATTTTCGTTAAACAAAGGCATTATTTTGCTTAATCAACAATAAAATCTGAACGAAGTCTTTCAAGACAAATCGCTAGCAGAATGGTGTCATTAAATTGGTGTTGAAACGGTGTTCGTAGGTTCTCAGGTAAAGGAGAAATTTGAGAAAACAATCTTTCAATATTTTACCACAAAGCCGCAATTATGACCTCACTCGTAAGATAACATACGTATAAATGTTAATTAATTTAGTCACTGAACACTAAAGATTTATCTATTATCCAAACGAATGTATGTGATGCAGTTGATGAGGAGCTTTGGCAAAGGCTAACAGTNAATAACAAGCCAGTAGCTGAAAAGCGCTTGAATCTGCTCAAAAGACGTCTACAGCGTGACGAAAACCTACGTGAGAAGTATACTCAAGCTCTTCAGGAGTATATTGATAAAGGACACGCTCAGAAGATTGACCACAGAAATCTGCATAATAACAGCAATTCTGTTTGGTACTTACCTCATCACCCTGTGATCAATTCAAAGAAGTCCAAAATTAGAGTTGTCTTCGATTGTGCAGCGAAATATGCAGGCGTTTCGCTGAATGATTCCTTGTTACAGGGTCCGGATTTAACCAATTCACTCATTGGAGTTCTCCTTAGATTCCGCCAGGAGAAGATAGCCATTGTTGCTGATATTGAGCAAATGTATCATCAAGTGAGAGTGCACCCTGATGATCGTGATGCCTTACGATTCCTATGGTGGCCGGCAGGAGATCTCAGCAAACAACCAGAAGAATACCAAATGCTAGTCCACGTGTTTGGCGCTACTTCCTCTGCAAGTTGTACAGTCTACGCTCTCCTCAAAAATGCAGAAGATCATGGAAAGGACTTTGATTTCCAGACCGTTGAAACTGTATACAGAAACTTCTATGTTGACGATTGCTTAAAGTCTGTAGAGACCGTCGATGAAGCTAAGAAGATGATCACTCAGTTTACCTCATTACTGCAGAAAGGTGGATTTCATCTGACCAAGTGGATATCGAACCAGGAGGAAGTTCTATTCAGTGTGCCCACTGCAGAGCAAGCACCGTCGGTCAGAAATGTAAACTTTGACAAACAGCCGATAGAACATGCGTTAGGCGTACAGTGGAACATAGAAAAGGATACATTTGGATACTGCGTCCGTGAGAGGGATGTAAAGAATACCCGCAGAGGTGTTTTGTCATTTATTGCATCGATATATGATCCACTGGGCTTTGCAGCGCCACTTATTCTCAAACCTAAACAGATACTCCAAGAATTGTGTCGGGAAGGCATTGCGTGGGACAGTGACTTACCTGCAGAGCATCTTAATGCATGGACACAGTGGAGAGAAGGATTGGACAATTTACAAACAATTGAAGTACCAAGATGCTTCAAATCAGCTCAATTAGCAGATATTCAATCCATTGAACTTCACCATTTTTCAGATGCCTCGTTATCCGGCTACGGCATTGTTTCCTACTTGCGATTTGTTGATATTAACCAGCAAGTATACTGCAACATTGTCATGGGGAAATCATGTGTTGCGCCTCTGAAAACAGTGACTGTTCCACGAATGGAGCTAACAGCTGCTACATTGTCTGCGAAAGTCCACAAACAAATGATGGAAGAACTACAACTGCCCATTCATCGTGTTGTTTTCTGGACAGATTCTACGATTGTGCTCCAGTACATTCGGAATTCCGCGACCAGATTCCACGTTTTTGTTGCCAATCGTTTACAAATGATACATGATGTTTCATTCCCGTCGCAGTGGTATCATGTTGATTCAGATCAGAACCCGGCAGATTACGCTTCGAGAGGAATACAGCTCAGAAGTGATTACGGTGATGACATACAGCGTTGGTTACATGGCCCAGCTTTCTTGTATCAGCCCGAGATACATTGGCCGAAACAACCAGATAATCTACATGAAATTCCAGAAAATGACAGAGAAGTGAAACGTAAATCAGCTCAAGTACATGTCACTACGTCGTCGGAAGTATTGGACGGTGTAGAGCGATTGTTACATCATTTCTCATCATGGTATGCGTTACAGAAATCAGTTGCCTGGATTTTGCGTTTCAAACGCTACTTACTGTCCCGCGTGAGACAATTGACAGTAGATAGAAACAATGGACCATTAACAGTACAGGAAATCGCGCTTGCTACTGATGCCATCGTGATGTATGTACAAGCAAAGTCATTTCACAAAGAGTACAACGTTGTATCATCTGCAATGACCAAAAAACCTGATTCCAAGGGATACGTGAGCCCATTGCGCAAGCTATCTCCGATCAAAATTGATGGGATTCTGTGTGTAGGCGGACGTCTCCAGAATGCAGCGATATCTACCTCACAGAAACACCCGAAAATTCTTCCGCATGATCATCACGTCACTGAAATCATTGTGCGACACTATCACATTAAAGAAGGACATGTGGGGGCATACCACGTGTTATCTGTGATACGTCAAGAATTTTGGATAACGCGTGGATTGTCAACAGTGAAAAAGTCATTCGCAAGTGCATGGTGTGCCGCAGATGAAAAGCAGTTCCCAGTAGTCAAGTTATGGCCCCACGCTCCGACCAGCAAAGAACTTTGAAAAAGGTGACTTTGTTTTACTTATTGATGAAAATGCCTTTCGCGGCCAGTGGCCTAAAGGACTGATAGAGGAAATTTTTCCTGATAAATACGGACATGTGCGCCAGGTGATTGTTAAGACAGCCAAGGGACGCTTTCGCCGTGATGTGCATAATTTTTGTTTAATGTACAATGCATTTAAGTGACAGTGACTTTATAGGACATATTTAAGTTAATCAAATGGTGTTTATATTTGATTAGAAAGGCTATTTTGAATCTTGATTAAATCGCCTTTCGGTGGCCGGTATGTAAGGTTTAGTTTACTTTTGTTGTGATTGAGGAGCCTGATGTCCGGCTCATCTAATGCACTCATTTGCATAAATGACAACTTTTCATTCGGGGTGGTGCCCCAGGAGTTTTGCACTTTGTTTCATTCATCACAGTGTCTCCGTAGGAGGAACACATAGTACTCTTACTTTTGAATCCGTTATTTCTACTTGAAATTTATAGTTAAAAGGAAAGGCAGAAATGGTGAGTTTAATACTGTTTATTGATTATTATTGATTATTGATGATTAGTTATTTATTATTGGTGATTATTGAAATGTATAAGTTTTTTGAGTAAGTAAATTTGAACACGTAAATAACCCTTAGTAAGTACATTGTTGTAATTTTCTTTTTCTTTTCTTCTTTTTTAGTTTTTACGTGTCTTGTGAATCCATGTGAATAAACCAAGATCCAGTGAAAAACACATGCCTTTTCTTTGACTTTTATTTAACCTATATAACCCCTTCGTGTTATAGTGTAACATACCGATATACCGTCTAAAACTGTCATAAGTTCGCGGCTGACGTTCCTTAATATCCTGCTCTTTCTCCCTACACCTGTAACAAACACATACATTTATTGTCCATTTATTGTGCAGCTGGCTTTTCATGTCCATATACCTGTAATTAGCAGTTGTATTTGAGATTCATATATATATATATATATATATATATATATATATATATATATATATATATATATATATATATACAACTGTGATAATATATTTGTTCCTTTTCCGCAAAATTTGTCTCGAAGACAAATGAAGCTAGCTATATCTCTTAGATCTAAAGTAATTTAAGACATGTTTTCTATTACTTAAGGTACTAAGAGCTTGGCAGTTGCTGGTTGCTATGTATTGTTGTTATTCATATCTTATGTGGCGCCGCAGGCGTTGAACAGAGCTGTGCTAACGTAAAATCCTCACTACTTTGAGCGTTGCTCATCATCGTTACCTTGTTAGAACTACTCATGCTTTCTTCTCCATTGCTACATTTTGATTATTTTTCCTCTTTTACCCTGACTCTATCTTCTTTTTAGCGTTATCTGTGGGTTTACTTGCCATTCATACATAGCACAGTCATTTCTTATGCTTACTGACCATCCAGATCGTGTTCAAAAACTCACTTTCCCCGGAGAGGATCTGACCTATTTATGTTACTCATCGGCCATCTTTTCCTCCCTTTTTTTTCAAACTTTTTTTAATAATTTTTTCTTCTATATATTCATGAACTCGTAAGAAAGATTTGCCTCAGTTTTCGGCCTTACAAGCTCACGGCACCCTTACCGCTGTAAGGGGTACTGTGAGCATGTAAGGCCGAAAACTGAGGCAAAAGAAAGATCGCGTCATTGTAATATTCTGAAATGCTCGTCAATTCTTGCTGTAATATTCATTTAAGGCTGCAGTTTCAAGCATTTGCCATTTTGTTCGAATTGCTCATTACATATGGTGAAATCTATTTTACCTGACAGTTAATTTAACATTCAACACTACCACTACGTTAATATTAAGGTTAACAGTAATAGATTAAGAAAATACAAGTCTGGCAATTGAATATTTAATATAAAAGAGCAGCAACATACGCAAATGACCCTCAGTAGTAACAAACATCTGCACGTGTAACATCACCAGAAGGACAGCAAACACTCGGCGCCCCTCCATTTCTCTGTTGCTCAATGCTTTTGTCGCCTAGTCGTCTTTACAGTCAACCCTCAACTTTTCGTTTATGCTCTAATTTCCTTGTGACTGAATGGTTCTAGATGGTATGTGGCTTGAAGGAGACATGGGTCAATGGTTTCACGTATTAGTTGGCTGATTTTATTGTTCATCTAGCCCAAGTGGCGGTCACACCCCCTATCATTACCTCTCATCCCTTAAATTTGATATCTGCGCCACGCCATGAGTTCTTCAAAAGTAAAGTGATCAGACGCGTTTATGTGCTGAGTGACTTGAAAGTCTTGTATGATTATGCTAGACCAAGTTTTTTTTTTAAATTAAGATCTGCGAGGTCCTTTGGAGTGACCTATGAGACACGCGAGAACTAACTACTAAACTATACTACTATGCCGAATTGTTTGCTATAGGACGCGCCTTCCAATTTAAAAATGCCAAACAAAGTGACCTGACGTGATCGCCATCAAACTCTGCTTTCCGACTTAGAGATGACAGATAAGGTTTATGAAAGCTAGAATGAAGGATGGGCCTGGAAGAATTTAGATTTGGCCTTTGTGAAAGAATTTGCATTTAGGGGAGTTTGAAACTAATTTCATTATTTTTTGTCGTTCTGTTTTTCCTCGGGGAAATTTCATACAAAACGTCATGCAGATAATCGCCACGTCATACACGTCATACAAAACGCGCCTGGTTTATGATACCCTCTTGTGATTATTTGAAGGGGGTCTTTTTTATTTATTGTTTTTTTAAAAGAAATGACAGGCCTCGGATACAGAGCCGACCCTGGCACCTATTGGCGTCGGGTTCGAACCCCCAAATTCCGAGGCGATCAGTGACGAGTGCTGAAGACCAAGATATACGGCGTACGAGACTGTCGAGATAACTGTGACAACTCTCTGCAACACCGTGGCGATTATCTGCGACCGATTGCGACAGTTGGCCAATATCGTTCTCCAAGCAATTGCATTCACGATGCATCCTCTGAGCAATTACTATTCTACTTTATTTCAAAGCAGTGGCGGATTTAGAGGGGGGTCAGGGGGATCCTACTCCCCCACCCTTCGGTTTCTGAAAAATATATCACACCAGTATTTCCCTCTTAAATGTAGAATTTTGACTAGCTGAATCATAGTTCTAAGCCGTACCAAAGGACACCGTTTGCCCTCCAAAACACCAAATTTTTCGGAGCCCTTGAGCAGGCCCCGAACCCAACGCCAAGGGGGCGATGGCCGGCTTAGCATCTGAGGCCTGTCGTTACGTATCCCCCCTTCAATTAATTCTGGATCCGCCCCTGTCCAAGGTACGTTTACTCACAACTTCCTTGGTTAAAGACGTAATCAGACATTCTTTTGACAATATGCAAATAACCTGTTTTGTAAAAAAGAAACAACAGCAACAGCGGGCTATTTGAACTTGGTACAAAACACGACTGGGTTCTCTGATATGGATGCATGAAGTTAACAGGGAAATTGAAGCCGTGGCACAAGGCAATACGGACAAGTTGGTTAACAAGCAAGAAAAATCCCAATTTTGAGGAAATCAAATCTTTTTTCACCTATTTTACAATAAATTAATGTTATGTATCTATTTAGTAAAAATTGGTTGTTTGGGAAAAATTACAATTAAGAAAAACATCAGGAAAACTTTAATGTTGCTTATAATCGCCCATACTTTGGATTTGAAGTTGACAAAAATCAATCAATCAATCAATAAATAAATAAATAAATAAATAAATAAATAAATAAATAAATAAATAAATAAAACGACCTTTCCTAATAATTAACTGTTATGCATTGTAAATATTTAGCAAAAATTGAAATAAATTTCGTAACAGAGCAATTTCGTCTGGCCAAACAGAAATATTGTTTGCAGCAGCTGAACAGGTGACTCTGGCCTTTGGGGATGAAATTTTGACCCTGATTTACATATACGCTTGGGATATAAAAATAAACTAAAACATAGAAGTTCAATAATTTTATTTTAAAATACTCAAACTCTTTTAAAAGAGAAACATGCTTGCTGAGTCTTTCAGAAACCTTACAAAATATAGATTTCACATTGTACAAAATTGGTAAACAATTAAACAGTAAAGATAAGTTGACAATATGATATTTATAATAATATGTATCAATGTTCCAAAGGACGTGCGGTTGTTTATGAGCGCCATTCTGGTCGTGTTGAGATGACCGCTGTTCGCTGCGCGAGGAAAAGAATTTAAATCTTTGGGACCATTTCCATAACCCTATCGTACTAGCAGGATCGATCCATCTCCAAGGGCATTCTCGCCAAATCGCATTAAGTTTAAACGTGCATGAAAGTTAATTACCTCCATAGCAGCTTCAGTGGGCGTGACAGACAATTAAGTTGCTTAAACTGAATCCAATTTAGCGAGAATCCCCTCGGAGTTGGATCGATCCTGCTAGTACGAGAGGTTTACGGGAAACCAGACTAGTTCACAAGTACAACGCATCGCAGAACAACCTAGGACAAAACCAACTGCGGGAACGTTTTTTATCCTCAAAAGTTCTGCTCTCCAGACCAATGCACTTATCTAGAGCCGCCATCATCTTCTGCCTTTTCATCTTCAAGCAATTTGATCAAATGGTCCTGAAAAACAATAAAGATTTCATATTTATGTTGATATGAATTTTATTGATTTACAGGTATATAATAAATAAGTAAATGTTGCACGTTAAATGGCAAATACAACCAAAAAACAGGGCAGCAAAGCTGCCATATGTACTGACGTAAAGCAGATAATAACGATGACAGTGCACAAAATAAGATTTTTTTGTTTATTTTGATGCAGTGTTGCGTAATGCTTCACAGCATAATCATCACACATATACTGACAGTCAATGAAAACGCATCAGAAAACTTTCTTGTTTTTTTTTACCGAGAATCGATTCCAACCATTTAATCGAGTACAAATGCACTTGTTTGGTCATAAAAGAGTGGACTGACCACTCAGATGTTTAAAATTTTGATTTTGTGACCAGCTGTTACAAGTCATGTGTTTTT